GTTCAAAAACCGTACAGCATCTCCTAAATGTGTGAAATTGTAAGTGCAAGAGTAGGAAGTGGGGCAAATTACTCAAGGTGCAGCATCTGGCAATGATTAGTGGCCATTAATTGGTGTTAACTGGTGCTACTAGTGTTTACAGAGTTGAAGGATAATTAGCTGGGGGTCAACTCAGGGCTGAAATTAACATGTCAAAACTCTGCAGCTGTCTCAAGACAACCAGGCGAGGTAGTGGTGGGGTGTACCAAATTTACTTGGCAGGGTAGCGTAGGATTATGTGGATGGTTGTGTGTGTGTATGTCATGTGGATTATTACGGCTATTTCACAGAGTGAGTCTGTGAGTCTGTTTGAGATAAATAGAGAAAGAATGTGTGCTTATGAGTCTGTCCTGGTGTGGATCACCGCATGAGTCAAAGTGACAAAAAATAAGCACCTCAAGAACAGCTCTCAGCAGGGCCCAGATTTAACTTGCCAGAGTAAACAGTGAAAAGAAATACTCTAGCCCAGTCAGCCGGTCTGCAGTGTGTCCATGGGGGGACCTATAGCACAGATCCAGCTGCAGCACCTGCATAAACACTAAAACTCAGAGTGGACAGCCACCACACAGCTGGGGACAGACAAACACTGAGTTCAGGAGAATGAAGTAGACACTGCTCTCCGCAAGGACTTCCATTTTTATCTAAGAGGGATTGCAGTCATTCAACTAACAGTGGATGAGGGAGACAGGAATAGCAAGGCCACATATCATCCATAACAGGATGGCTAGCCACCATACTGTGGAAGATAATTGGGATTCACAAAAATAAATAAATGTATAGCTGAATGTTATATCATAAGCTGTAGGTACTATCTGGCAATACAACCTTTTTTCACTTGCTTCACCATCTAATTATGTCTCAATTCTGGCAACTGTCAAGATCAGAAATGATAATGAACTAAGACCTGTGCTTGAATTGCTATGTCTATCAAGGTACCTGCTCTTACATATGCAGTAAACAACAAAACAGAGGTGTCTTTACCACTCAAAATCTTAATTTATTTTTGTAAGTAAGTAGACAAAAGCGTTTGTCTCATATCTAGCCGCAGACCCTCGATTTACCTTAGCTAGCTAGCTAATTAAGCTAATGTTTGCACCATGAGTTGGTTGAGAATGCTGACTGCAGCCAACTTTTTAATGTTTCATTAAGACTCATTTTAGAACCCTGTCAAAGGGACGTAGCATTTATTTTCAATCAATGGGTGTGTGTAAGGATTGTAATAAAAAAACTAGGCTAGAGCTGCATCCTAAATGCTAATATTTTCACCTAAAATACTTTTAAAGACTGCAAGTTAAGTATTAGGTTTGTCTAGGTTACTTTTGTGATTTAATCCGAACTTTGTTTTCTACCTATCTTCTCAGGTCTGGCCATCTGCTGCAGATCACAAAGAGACGTCTGCCCCGATAGTCCTAACATATCCAAACCCCCCCACACACTGGAGAATAACTCCCAGCCATCAGAGTTGCTCTGCTCCGATACAGGATAATGACTGGAGTGAAACGGGACTAAATCCATTGTACGATAACTTATCTCTCTACGTCTGTTTTTTTCTTTCTTATATGAGGCCTTGCGTCTCATAAACCCCAAATTCATTTTACTCTGTATCTGTGCTGATACAGTTTCCCCGTCAATGAGAGGGAACTCTGGGGCTGGGAGATAGAGAGGGGGGGGAGTGGGGAGCGACGCATGCCGCAGACTGCAGGCATAGTGGGAAGACCGAGATAAGAATATTAAACAGGAGAAAGAATTGTGTCTTCTCCTCTAAACCAATAATATAACTGAGGTTGGAAATGAAAAGGGAACACTCTACTTCAGCCTCCAATAAGTCATAATGACACATTTTTGAGGAGAGTGTGTTTTAGTGATAGTGTGTCGTAGAACAATGAATTGTAAAAAATGTGTTTATGCAATACTATTTCAGTATAACTATAGGACTGCTAGAATATCTATTGCATCAAACGTAAAGATTAATGTCGGTCTAAAGGCTCTAATTATGTAATGTTGATTATGGGCAGATAAACACGACTCATGAGAGAAACTTGGTTTAAACTTGTGGTCCTAGATCTCTCTGTGAGGTATGTCCACCGTTTGCTGTTCCAGAGCTTTGGCATCCAATGATCTCTGTATTCAAATGTTCATACCGTAAGTAATTTATGACCAAATTCTCACTTTATGACAGCTGCTACAAATCATGTCTGTAAACCAATCAATCTGAATATGGCATGAATATGAATTGTTGCAAAAATACACTGGCTGCATTTTCAAAATGTAAGAGCAGGGCAGATGGATTACATGAGTTGTTGAAGTGTCTCCACATTCATATTTCCCCCCCAATTCACATTAGAAGGATTTCTTCCTACCTGAAGAACAATTTGATGTTTGCAGCAAGGCAATTCAACTCAGGCTAGGTTTTTTTCTTCGGAATTAAGCCCCTTTTTAAATAATCAACATCTTAAACAGGTGGGTTAAGGTAGGTATTCATGTGATTGCATTGTGTTGACTGTTGATCACTACTGTTCTTTGAAACGTTTCAAGTAAGACATGAAAATGTAGAAAGAAAATCTTGCTGTTTACAACTGACTCTCAGAATGAATCAGTCCCCCTGATGATGACTGCAAATTGCCCAAGATTATGTTGACACGTCTTCATTGCTGCATGTAGGAGGAGGCGGCGGCTGCAGAGCTGCCATTTAGCCTGCCGATGGCCCCGGGGGATTCTTCTTCTCTAGTATTCTTTTTAATGTCTGGCAATTAAAGGCCGTCTAACTGTCTGAAGGAGTGATGGAGAGAGGAATAGAGGGAGTGTGACTGAGTGTAAAAGAATGATGTTCAAAGAGAGAGATGGGGGGGGGGGGGGGGGGGGGGGGGGGAGACAGAAAAGATGTACGAGACACACATTAAGATAGGCAGGCACACACCAAAATAGATATAAAAAAACGAGATGATCATGTTAGGAAAACTGCCAAGGCTTAACTCTATGTATTGCTGTCTCCGTGGTGTGGTCACTTAAACAGAAGCTATTTGTATGGCTGAATGGCTGAAATTCTATTTAATTTATAAGGGCGTACTCAATCGCTGGTGAAATGTTTCACTTCACGATAACAGGCCCTGAGGGAAGGGTTATCTATACATTACAGTGATGTGCATAGCCCATGCACTACAACTGTTCATCAGTTAAATCCATCCTGCCTAGTTTTCATTTACACCAGCAGTCAATGCTAATGCTTTTCATATCTATCAATGTGACAGGCACAGCACGTTGGTTTGTTTCACTCAACGGGAGAAATTAATCACACACATTTAGTATAACAAGAGAACATTTGAGCTCTGCATTAACTACACTCGTGCTGGTTTTGCCATATTAAGATAGCAATTTCAGACTTCTTATTGAGGCTATTTGTTAACATTTCTGACGTAACTGTCAGAGAAGCCTTTGGGCTCACACATACTGTACTATGTTAAATGTATATGTGTCAAAATTGTACAGAGTAATAGTTAAAAAACGCTAAAGTACATGCCTTCTGTGAACTTCTGTGTAATTTGAGTGACACACTCCAATGAATGAAAGCGTTTTAATGTGAATATGCAGCAGAATTACCTGTTTCCTGAGCCATAGTTATATGGATAAAAACATAACAATCGAGAAATGTCATATTTAATATGAGTTCATCCATCAACGAGCAGTGTAAAGTGCTCTTTATCAATGGCATCTTAATATAAAGTAAAGCATTATGCAGGCACATTATAGGCAGATTACATCTATTAGTTACTGCTGTGCTGAATGCAAAAGGCATGCCCATGGGAGAGCAGAAAATCATTTTAAATTTCAATAAGTTACATGCGGTGGCAAGTCGACACATAATCTGCACAATGCCCTAGGCAGCAATGAGGCTGGATGCAATTACGGAGAAAATAAAATTCTACACAGTAAACAAAGAAAAAAATGTAAAAAGACTGATGAAAGAGAAATAAACATCGTGGAGATTGCCTCGTCTTTGATGAGGTCGGCTGTTGTTTCCTTTAATTGTCACAGCATAATTTCAACAAGGATAAGTATGCCATTTGTTGTAATCTGACAAGGCTATAATGACTTAAGGCCAACGCGTCAATGTAGTATGACTCTTTCATTGATGCAAGGTTACAGGCATCCTTCCATTGAGGCATGTACAAGGTCAATATGGTGATTATTTTCTATGGTGAAGGAAGCATAAAAACCTTTACGGTACCAATTCCATAAAAAACTAGTATTAAAGTAAAGGCTCTGCATTCAAAATCATTAAAAAAGTGTGAGCATCTTATATTTTAACGGTATTAGATTGTTTATATTGACTATTTATTGCTCAATCGTAGTGTAATGTAATGTTGTGGATGCTTTAGATTGAGCTGATCATTGCTACTGTATACATTTCTGGCAGCTTCAACTTCAAACAAGGCGTTATCATTTTTTGTACATATTCATCTTTATAAGATCAAGATCAATAAGATCAGATCAATGTTGTGCAAGAACAATTCTACCTGTACAATGTAGCGGAGTTGGAGTATAAACCCCTTAAAGATGCATTGTAATATAACGTATTATTGTAATATAATATTGTATAGTATGTGAGTAAATGTAGCCTACTTTTGATTTATCCATTGTGCTTCACCTACATCAGAATACAGCATATTCTTATGAAATGTTGTAACTGTTTTATAATTTTCACAAGATAGCAAAGCTCTATTGAAAACTGATTTTGATGGTAACGTCAATAACAATGTTTTTGTATACCATTGAATATAAACATAATATATCAAAACATCTTTAAATGAGTAGGAGGGTCTCTACTATCTAGTCGTCGCGTGCTGCCCCTGTGTTTTGGTCTGAATGTCCCGCCCCACTCTGTTGCTATTGGTCAACTCTATAAATACTCGAATCTGATTGGACTGAAGCTCTGCCTATCATTGGCGTGGACGTGTAAACCAGGAACTGGGATAGGGAGGAGTGGTGTGTGTTGGCATTTTGGACACATTTGGATCAAAGTGCAATAAAACTGTCAATGCTGTCGTTCCGCGTCTCCACAAACAACAGCCAGACATTTCCTAATGCAGAAACAGCTCTAAAAGGCGACACATTCACTCGATAAACAAGAGCAGTGTGAGTATCATCGCTAATGCAATGAATGAAAGCTGCATGTTGTCAATAACATCTCCACTCGAAGTAAATAATGCTATCAGTTTGCTCGAAAGCTAACCTCGTTGCTCTGCAAACAGTCGCTAACTTTCTTTTTCGTGATGAGGCAGAAAGAAAAAAGTGCAAATGCAAGCATCGTCGTTTTTCAGAAACCTAAGAGTCTGATAGTTTCAGTGCATGTTGTCATTTTCCACATACTAACAGACATACATGTAGGCTTTCTGAGACCACACTTCCCCACCATGTTATTAGAGCGGCCTGTACCTACTTTCAGTTCCCATTTTCAATAGAGATCATCAACAAAAATCCCACCATTATCATTTCAATATATTTGTTATTGATAGTGTGGATAATGTTTCAAAAAAGATAATTCCCTCTAACATTGCACATCATTTCGCAATTTCAATAAATGCAAATAGTTATTTTTTCCAAATTGTTCAGCCCCATGTCTTTATCCCCCACTGTTGCAAATGCAAAATCTACAGTATCATATCTTTAGAAATGTCAAAGTGGAATGACCACAGGTGATGATGGAGGCTTCAAATGTGTTGCTTTTGACAATTTACATAGTAATACTGTGATACACAGTACAAGCTAGCTTTCAAGGGCCTACTGTGTCTAACGGCCCCTACACACGGCAGCGTGCGTTGAAGCTTCAACGCTTCTGCCCATTCACTTTGAATGGGGTGACGTCACGCTTTGCCGAACTGCATTGTGGGAGCAAAGCTTTTGCTTTACTCGCGTTGCTCGCTTCAAAAGTAGAGCAATGTTCTACTTTTGAAGCTTCAACGGAAGCGTCAGCCAATCGAATCATATGCCAGTACAAGCTCTAGCCAATCAAACCGCGTGCTTGTGTGTCCGGGGCGGGAGATTCATGTGATTGGTTGTTGGTCGAGCTTCAGACACGCCCACCGGCAAGCTTCAACGGACGCCGCCGTGACGGCCCGTCCACACGGCAGCGGCGTGTGTTGAAGCTTCAATGCTTCTGCCCATTCACTTTGAATGGGGTGACGTCATGCTTTGCCGAACTGCATTGTGGTTCCGTCGCTTCGCTTTGCTCGCGTTGCTCGCTTCAAAAGTTGGGCAATGTTCAACTTTTGAAGCTTCAACGGAAGCGTCAGCCAATTAAATCATATGCTAGTACAAGCTCTAGCCAATCAAACCGCGTGCTTGTGTGTCCGGGGCGGGAGATTCATGTGATTGGTTGTTGGTCGAGTTCCAAACACGCCCACCGGCAAGCTTCAATGCACGCCGCCGTGTGGACGCTGCGTGACTGTAAACATTACATTTGGACAATTTCCTCTGTTTCTTTTGTACCCCTCTCGTGTCCTTTAATTTGCTGACTCTGGTTTCCCCTCGCTGGAGAACAATAGCATACATCCTCCTTCTCTGCTGGCACTAACCGTGTTTGAAATGTAGCTGAAAACTGTGTTTTTAGTTTAAGGTAGAATGCAGGTGTCCCTAGGCAGCAGTCTCCTGTGAGAAGGCATCAGTCGGCACAGGCAGCCTGCCACGCTCCTTGAACATGCTAATTCAGTCTCTTTCCCCTATTCCCCTGCTGCACCTCCAGACTCTTCACCACTCCTGTTCTTCTTGGATGCACATAGATTTATTTTATTCCATTCGTATTCAACTCTTCTCCCCTGTGCACACCTGCTCACACATTTCTCTTCCTATCACCCTTAAACATGCTTCTTTAAAATGAATTTCAATTATCATTATACTAGCAGAAATTGATAGATATTAAGAACGGTATTAGTGAAAACATATCAGGCATTTCTTACAAATCATGCTAAAATCTTTCAGCCAGGTCAGAAGGACTTGGTATGATCAGATAGCACAGGCCTGCCCCTCGACTCATACTTGCTTTTTTCACTATTTTAAACAAAAGGCTACAATATTGATCAATGCAGTGTGTTGTGAGGGATCCTGTCTGGAATTTAGAGCAGAGTGCTCACTGAGAAACAAACATGTTCGGTGGATGCATGGAACACCCACACTGAGTTTTAGCACTTTTGTAATGAAAAGTATAATACAAGCAAGAGTTATTTCTGGAGGCTATACAGCTATTCCTGCGCATGTTTTGACATTAACACATGTAGACTGACATTTATGCTGCCAAATAGTTACATGTTAGCCTATGCTTTTTGTCTTACTCCATGCTTTTACTCCATATCTTCCCTGTCAGCTGCCAGGGTATTCAAAGAGAGCTCATGGTGTGAAGGGAAATGGTGTTAGGCTAAATTAGATGGATAGGAAGTGTGCATACTGCGAGCATATCACACATGGAAAATAGGGAGAATTAATTGAATTATGTCTAGCAGATGTATGTGAAAGATAAACCATCTGCCTGATCAACACTGACTACTCTTGCCTATGTATGATTGTGTATTAACTTGAATCCTTGCTGCAGATTTCACAAGTCCTCTCCAGATACAGTAGCAGGAATGGAGCTATATTCGTTTTTGATGAAGCTAAATGATCTGGTGTTGCATTGAAACCCAGCTGTTAGACTCTCTCACTCAGAAGGTGTTGAATTCTTCTAATTTCTCGTTAGGGTGAGGAAGGAGAATGGGGAAGAAGGATGCCAGTGCGACCAGATTACCTGTCGAACAGTACAGAAAACAGATCGGTGAGTCTTCATTCCGCAAAGTCATCTGTAATCACTCAAGAAACAACATTTGGTATTGTCAGGCGATTTCACATTTGAACATAGTTTAGATATTTAATAGCTTGTATTGTTTCATAACAAAATCATCAGGGCTCAATTAATATAGCATTCTGTAAACTAAATGATTTATAGTTTAATCAAAAAGATAATCAATGTATTAACTGACAATCAAAACAATAAGGTCTGTTAATTACACCAACATTATTTTTGACAGATGTGATTGGTTATTGGCTTCTTGCGCAACTCCTTTTTAATACAAATCATAGTTCAGTGCTGGCAGTTTGACCACAGCTCTCTAATCAACTCAGCGTTCCCTCATAGAAATAACATATAATGCCACAATTCATAAACCTCACATGATACTGTGTTGCAGTCAGACATTTCTTTTGTGGTTTTACATATATCCCAAAGTGTCTAAGAGCCCAAGTCTTTTAAAGACATTCATTAACGTTGGAACCTAACATGAGCATGATCTATTCACACAGTGCTTGAACATTTTTCAGATTTCTGTTTGATTGAAACACGTTTTTACTAAAGGAGAATCAGTATACAAGCTTTGGAAGTCATTTTACTTGAAGACAAACAAGCTGAATCTAAGGTCACATTACTGACAGATAGTGAATTCCATGCTTAAAAAGCTTCTTCTTTTGATACGATGTCAGGAGCTGTTTTATCAAAGTTTTATACCACTTTAATGCTGCAGTGTTTTGTTCCCCATCTTTCCCCTTACATCACAAAGGCCTCGATGGCAATATGTTCGGTATCAATCAAAAGTGTGTTCCCCTTTAGCATGCCAGCTGTGGTTGCTTGAAGATCACAGCTCCTATCGTATCATGTCTTTTTGTTTTGGTTTTCCTCTTGTAGAGGAAAACCAAAAAATCGCCAGTGGCAAAGCTGGGTAATTGTGAGCAGCTATGACAGACACAAAGGGAAGGTCTGTTCTCTTTATTGGCTTAAGGTTTTCACATACAATCCCAGGAGTGGCTTATTTTTGACATGTAATGTGACTGAGTAGTGTAATTAGAAGCATAAGAAGCCCACTCAAAAATCCAAGAAAGAACACTTTCCACTAAATATAGCGAGTCTCTTAAAGCTAATAATGAATTGGACTTGATCTCATAGTATCTCTAACAGGGACTTAAAGAAAGGCTGAAATATCTGAGTCGAAGTGGAGATCGTGCTCCTTAAATGGCAACAATCACGGTTTAGCTGGAGAGTGACACAGTCTTCACACAGGAGACAGCTGGCTATGGGAAGATTAAAAACCACGTTCTTACGGCTAATATTTCTGCTTAGACCACATGTTTGATCTTGACTACCATTTTTAAGTCTGGAAAACCAGAACAATTTGTCCTATCAGTCAGAAGACTTTTAAGCAAGGAAAGTAATGTCAAACATACAAGCGAAGAACACCAACCACCCAATATTTGTACCTGTGTGTCCAGATCCAAGGGACATTCACAACAAAAGCTGGCCAAATACATTTAATTTAATTATATTTTGCATCTATTGTTTCGTCATATCTTGGAGCCACTGTTTCCATTTTGGGATCTTATTTTAAAGATACGTTTTTTTAATCAGTTCTGACAACATTAGATGTGTTAGCCGGGCTGTACTGTAAACAAACGTATCTTTAAAGTGTTTTTGAATTCTTAATGTTTTTTTGTCTAAACTGTCGAGTGTTAAAAGTGGATAAGAAGAGATAATGGTAATAATGATATACCCTTATATAGTGTGTTGCCAAAACGGAAGAAATGCCATACAGGTTAAATGTTAATACAGGTTACGCTAAGATACATTCTATGTCTTTAAACCATACATTAGGGTAATTTGAATGAACCTACCCCCCCACCCCCCCTTGTGAAGATTGTTTCAACCATGGCATTGTTCAGGTCCTCTTCCTCTCAGTGGATGATGATATGTTGGTCCCTGGTGATTGACATCCTCTGATTATTCAGGTTTTATATTTCCTGGTGTTACTTATGTGAGAGGGTCTTATAGTTTTTGCACCTCCTTTTTAGTTCTTAAAGGAACATTTATTTATTTAATTTGATAGCAATATTTGAGGCATTGAATAGCCTTTTGAGATTGTTGTCTTTCTCCTGTTTATTATTGCATCTGTAATAGGGCTAAGGTCTCATAAAGCAGCATAATGGTTGTGTATGTTTTTTTATAGTCGGACTGAAGAAAAACACTATTTAGTTCACAGACACCCCCTAACCGTGTGTAAAACTCGGCAGCTTGAACAAAAGAGAGAGAGACCTTAAATAACACGCTCATTTCCCATCGTTTGATCCCATACCATGAGGGCAGACACTTTGTTTCCTTTTACTCTGCCCATTTGGTGTTATGTTTCTAAGCACATCTCATGACTTTAAAACATATTTTACACAGGTGTCAGAGACATGTTGGTCCTCTTTCTGCCTTTGCCTCCTTCAATCCTTAATTTCTAACACTTTTTATGCTTTTTGAAAAGAATGGCTTATTCATGGACCATCATCAGTTGTGCAGGCTGGTGTTGAGCTCTACTATCATCTCTGCTGGAGAGCTTTTGTCATGTCAGAGGGCCGTCAAAGGGCCACTGTTGACACTCTCCTTTAAATACCATTATTAAGCCTCTTATAATTGACTGCGCCTCAGAAGAGGTAAAGCTATATGTTCTTACATGTAAGTGTTCAAGTAATGATTGCAGCTGCCTGCTGAACAAATAGGGAAAATAGCCTACTTGACACAGAAAAACACACCCGAGATTTTGAGTAGAGCAATTAGAAATTGATATGTGGTCTGAATATTTTACTACAATACATACTATACATACGACTACAATATATAAGGTATGAATAAGGTATAGTTGTTTTCCTCTTGTTATTAAATCTTTATTCAGCTCTTAATATCACCTTGACTGTGACGTTTCTCTCCTCGTTGCACATTAAGCTAAGGACAAGGCATAAATATCTCCCATGTTTCTGGCATGTGCCCCCCAGTTCCTCGACCATCCATCCTGGCAGATGCCAGCGATCTGCACCATGTGGTCACTGACTATTTGGCTGCCACGTAGAAGCAAACACAAGGAACTGTCTGACATGCTGTCAGTGTGTTGCCCGCCTCGTCCCAGCGCTCTCAGAGAGAACCGGACTGTGGTCTGTCGGCCAAATCACCCCATCTCACAGAAAATCAAAACATACACACTAAACTCCTCAGGTATATTTGTGTTTCAATTGACACACTTATGTGCTTGTTTGTAACAATTTGACCTGCACAGTAGCTTTTTAAACATTACAGTACTGGCTGGATTTTACATGTACCAACAGACAGTTTAATTGCAAGCTTCTGAATCCTAACCTGGCAAGAGGCAAATGACAGTTTTACCGTGACACCTTCACCGTGACACCTTCAGATAGTTTCCTGCCTGTCAATCCATCAGAATATTAGCATTGCGTTAAGAATACTTGAAACTTTGCAGGATTTCTCAGGGCTCAAAATGAGGCAAAGGTGGTGCAGTACCTCAGCTCTGACCTAATGAACCTAGATGGATTTTTATTTAAATGTGAGAATGGGCAAAACCGCCAAATATAAAGTGTGTATGTCTTATCTGTAAACATCCAAGTGATTTGGTTATAATATGGATTTGTTGACAAGTAGAAGTATTTTATTGTTTGAAGTACTACTTAAAATATCAAGTCGTCACTTTACAATATACTGTTATATTGCAAAGTGTTAATATTTGCATTCCTTGGTATTTATGATATCTAAAATCTTTTATGCTGATTTAAAGAAAAACATATTGATTACATTTCCTTAAATGTTGTTTGTTTGTGACTAAACAACTATTGTTTCAAAGAAGAATTGAAACTATAGGTAATTGATCCCTTGTCTTTTTACTCTGCACCACTTGTTTGTTTGCTGGAGTTCAAGTTGGCAGGAATGCATTTAATGCAACCTCTTGACACTTTACCATTACTGCTATGGTCAAAGTTTATTTGTATTCCATTTTACTACTGATGTTTCTTTTCATTCGCACAAACTGTTACACTCTGAGCTGTATACTCTTCCCCTACCTTCACTTAAATGGCCAATTGAGATGACACACAAATTACATACCTTTACCCCCTCCTTCCCATGAGTGCTCAATCACTTGTAGCTAATTTGAGCTAATACCCCCTACCTGTCTCGTTATGCTAAGCAGAACAATAGCTCTAGATACAAATAATTTCGACACCATTTACAGGTAAATGCAATGATAAACTAGCAAGGAGAAACCCTAAAACACACATCTGAGGGAATGTACAGTAAGTGGGATGGGGGAGGGGGGGGGGTGCACATTCATTTTTCTCTTGTCCTCTTGACATGAAATCAGTGATGTCTTCAATGAAAGGTACACTCAGGGAAGCCTCTCAGCAGGCACTCTGCGCCGCCTTCCAAGGCCTAATGTCTCCCTCAGAATGCTGTACAGGAGGACAGTGATGGCCTTTCAGTGTGGCAGGCAGCAGTAGGGAGGGATGGGAGGACGGGGTGTATCCCACTGTAGCTGGAAAATTGGTGACAGAGTGTCTACAGAGCAATGACTAATAGGAGTGCTCATAGGCCAAATGGAATATCATCAGGAGTGTGTGTGAATGTGCGTACACGATATATGCAAACAAACCACAGGAGACAACATGAGGCTTTAAGAAGAACCACTGTAATACAACAATATTACAATATTTTACACAGCCTGATTACACAGCATTCTCTTTCATATCAATTATTCATCCTTGGTGTAATTATTTTTATTTTGCTCCAATTAAGTATTGATTCTTACCAGATGGTTACGGTTAAATGCATACAAATGTAATTTCTCCAACAATTTAAGCCCCATGAATGAGAAAAGAAAGCAGCAAAGGTGGATGTTGTAAAGCCGTTTATGGAATTGTTGTAAATGCTGAAAAGTCTGTTGTGGAAATGTTAACTCCAGCTTGTTTAAGTTTCTATATTGTTTTGTCTTTGAGTATCCTTGGGAACTTTCCTGCAGAAGCTGTTCCCTAAGGACATAGAGAGTGAGACACAGCTGGTATGAACACAGAAAGTAGAGCTTGTTCAAGTTGTGGGCATCAATTTTAAAAATCGAAGTCTACAACTTGTTTCCCTCATGACTGGCTGCGTACAGGACAGTTGGATACCTACCATTTTCCACCAGGCAACAACATCCAATTGCTGATCCTGTTAAGTACATGAAGAAGGCTATTTTCCCAGGATTAGGGTATTATAGTATTTCGGGCCATTGATCAAGTACCAGGCAATTGTCAATCAACAGTCGGTTATCAAGCTTTACAGTTTGAAGAGCTTTCCATACCATGGAGTATCATGTCTCTTGGGGAGCAGTGGACAGCCATGCAGAGAGGAGATAACCATAAGCATGGTGTTAAGCAGCCTCTCTCTCTCACTTCACATATCTATTTTTCTCATCACCCCCCTATTTATTTTTCAGAAATCTTGCACTCAATTCTCTGCCTTTCTCGATCCCTCCATCCCTCCTGGTCCCAGAACTCCTTCTCCACCTCCCTCTGACTCATATGTCATTAACTCTTTATTTAATGACATTATGGGACAAACACTTACAAATTGGAGGTAATCCCACAAGTAAAGAGAAAATAGGAGTGACTAGAACTAGCATTTTCTTGTCTGGTGGTTAGCTAGTTAGCTTCATCTGTTTGCCAACTAGTTTTGAAGGGACACAGAAGAGTTCACTTATAAGAAAGGAGTGCTACAGATGTATTTAATGCAGCCGATTCTGTTGATGTTGCATACCCTATTTATGACTTTCTGTATTTTTTAAATTTTTATATAGAATTTGATAAAGCGTTCATTCCCAGCCATTTTTCAGCCACAATTTCTGTGTATGGTGAGCAACCTGAGGTGCCCTCCAATCAAATGTCTCCCTCTTCACTTTCTGACAAGAGGAGACATCCAGTGCCCCCCCCCCCATAATAAATTCCCACTCGCTCACTCTCTGCTTCTGGCAACATGCTCCCCATTTCTATTAACCTTCCACTGAGTCAGAGGGAGGTGGAGGAGGAGTCTGGGACCAGGAGGGATGGAGGGATCGAGAAAGGCAGAGAAATTGAGTGCAACATTTCTGAAAAAGAAGTAGGGGGGTGAGAAAAATAGATATGTGAAGTGAGAGAGAGAGGGCTGCTTTAACACCATGCTTATGGTTATCTCCTCTCCTGCATGGCTGTCCACTGCTCCCCAAGAGACATGATACTCCATGGTATGCAGCTCTGTCTGTTTGTTTTCAAAATCTCAACACGCACACACCTCTTCACCGCTCCTCTCTCACTAGCTCATTTTCACTCTTTTCTCTTACACAACCTTTCCAGATGATTTGGACCTCTTTCCCTCTAATTCCTCCTGCTCTTGTTCCCTCTCTCGATGTAAATTAGTCTAATTGGCTGGGAGTAAAACTCCAAGTAGCCTCTGCATGTCAACATCACCCACTGAGAAAGCCTTAAAGCTGACCCAGGGGCTCTCTGACGCACACGCACATACACACACTTTTGTATTGTACCTTTCTCCTTGTGATAGCCATCCATTTATTTGCCGGCTACTCACTTAAATGTTATCTATCTGAAAGTCATGCATAACCTTAACCCTCACCATACATGTAGATTTAACCGAATCATATTTTCTAAATGTACCCATCAATTAAATGTTTTAAAATAACATTTAGGGCGCTTGCTAAAATGTCAACAATCCTAGTTTATAAATTGGTACTCACAAAGATAAGGGCTCAAGGGTAGAACACACACACGCATGCACACGCACGCACGCACGCACACACGCACACACACGAACACACACACAAACACACAGTTCAGCAAGCTGTTGCCTTTCCACCCTATTGTTAGCAAAGTTCCTTTTCCTGCAGTGTGTTGATTCTAATTAGACCAGGACAGCCGGCTCAGCCTCATGTGAAGCACACGCACACACGCACACGCACACGCACACGCACACGCACACGCACACGCACACGCACACACCCACACCCACATAAACAAACATGCTTTTCCAGGTGGCCAGTTTGCCCACAAGACACACCCTAGAGATTTGAGCCTCGAGCAAGCACAGGTGAACGGTGTGCAGCTCAGTCCCAGAAAGTATTATTATATTGTATATGTTGTCTGTGCAGAACCTGTGTGGGGGTTAATGTTATTCTAGAGATTGAGAAACTTTCATTTACATAAACTACATTTAACTTTATTTTCTCACCTGCCTCACTTGAGTTATTTAGTTGGGTATTGAAATGCAGCAAAACTTACAAGTAGTTTAACATTTGGTTATAATTCTTATTTCCCTTTTCTTGCAGAGAGTTACATGATGGGATCAATATTGCTCTAATTGCTTAGCATAAAGTCTGGAAACAGGGAAACTGCCATCCCTGGCTCTGTTTTCAGGTTAACTAGTCTGCCTTACATATCCGATATTAAACTCACCAAAAACACGTGTGACTGTTTTTCAGTCTTTTCAAATGTGTAACCCACTTATTTTCTCTCTTTCAGGTAAACAGGACTACAAAAAGACAAAGTTAGATTTAAAGCTAACACGGCTGAAAGCTGAAGCAAAGAAGAATTCCTCTGGATTCAAGGTGAGAATTGCTGGACTTAACAATTCTCTTCAGAACTGCTGACTTCTGTATCTCCATCTTTTCCTCTTTCTGCTGGCCTGTCTGTTCTACCCTGTGATTCTGGTTTTCCGGCTGTTTGCCAACTTTCTTCTTTTCGCATGTGTGTCCATCTACCTGTTTGAGGGTGTCTCTCACTAGATCATTTCCATATCTCTTGCTCTTCGCTCTTATACAACCTTCCTCTGGTTTTTTAATAAATATAACAATATACTGTATATCCGCCTGTAATGATGTGATGTGGCCCCCATGCCTATTCTTAAAGGTCTGACCAATCAGGAACACTTTCTTTAAAAAATACATGAGCCTTCCTTAGAATACAGTTAACAAAACTCTCTTCTGTCTACAAAAAGATGACATTACACATGAGTTCCTGAAAAATCTAAAAAAAAGTACACAGATAGCGAACTACTACAGTGTTCTTAATATAGTTAGCTATCTGTGTACTTTGTATTATATGTAATGTATGCACCATGACATCAAGTCAAATTCCTCGTACGTGTGAACCTACCTGGCAATAAACCCGTTTCTGATTCTGAAAGGATTGAAATTCAAGGGGGTCCTTGTTCATTTACTGGTGAAGAAGCAATTTGGGAGGAGAGACAGTGAAAATATAACGAGCAGAGAGGAAAAAGAAAAGGAAATACTAAGGTGGATAATATAGAAAGAGTTGAGTAATTCAAAGGTAAAGGTGGTTGAGGGTGTTGATAGAAAAGTCTGTCTCTCCTTTGCCATTATGCTGGCAAAGATGGATGACTCCAAATGTATCACTATGGCCAACCGGGTACCGCTGTTTATGCTTTTTTCATTCAGTTGGCTTACCAATAAACAGTTTTACTATTTCAAGATTTCTCCATATATAGTTAGCCATTGCCAATATCATAGCTTTTGAATATACCGTCAAACGCTTTCAAACACCGCTTTGGAAATTGCAAGATGCATGACATCCGGTGCTCAGTGTTTTTTCTATAAGCTGTTGCAAAATGAAAGTCAGTTGTAAGAACATAATAACGGTCTGAGTACCGAACAAGACGTGCTAAACCTAGTTAACTGATACGGTTATTGTGCCTTAGATGTACGCAACGAGGCTCATTAGCACCGCGTACAAAATATGCAGCCCTCTGATTGGTCCTTAATCAACCCCCTTGATGGTCGTTGATTAGAGCCCTATGATCGACCGATTTTAAGGTCCCTATAATTGTCCTTTTTGAACAAGCCATTTGATTGGCTCATTGAGCGAGACACATTTTTTAGGCATTACAATCCCAAGACTGTTCTGTCATTATAGCTTAAATGATATGGACTCTTGACATTCTCTCCAGGAAATCATCAGTGATTTTATTGCATTAGTTGAACTTATACTGAATCCTAATGGTGCATGCTCAAGGGTTGAGGCCTTGTGATCAACATTGAGTCATAATCATTGCAACACCTCACGCCAGCCTCGTGTGACGAACATTATCTGAAGTACATGAAAATATATACAAAAAAAAAATACATGGATATGAGAACCTGTACTTCCCTGCTTGCAGCTTTAATTCAGACTTGTTTCCTTTTTTTGCGCGTGTTTTCTTTGTGGCATTGAGAATTGGTTCTGTGTACAGTACATGAAAAGCCACAAGGCTTCACTTCCTCATTAAACCTCAGTTGGCACGTAGTACACAGAGATGAACAAATCATAGTGAGGATTAAACACTGGGTGAAATGGTCAGGTTTTAAAATATGCATCTCTTAGACACGCAAGGCCTCATTAAGCACGTCTTTAATCCAATTAGATTAGTCCATATCTTGAAATATTGATATTGCTTATGAATTATTCAGGTTTTCACGCCCAAGAGGAGGGGAATTTTCAGAGGTCGGATTAAAAATACCTCTGGGACAAGGATATTAAACTGATTTGGACCCTTTGGCCCCCGAGTTCGATTGAAATTCAGCCCAAATGTAATGGATATTTGGTCACGCTTGCTTTCCCATGGAGACGTTTTAGCATTATATAAAGTTGTGATTTTACACAGCTCTGTGAGGACGGTAAAAAGCCCCCCTCCCTACCTTTGTATCTCCTTCCCTAGGTTGATAGCAATGATTTAGTAGCAGGTTTTTAAATCATGTGTGCATTAGGATTCCTCTCCTCTCGCCGTTCCCTTCTCATTCTTTCACCGTGTCCCTGGTTGAGCTGCTGGTCTCGGATGCAGCTGGCATCTCAGAAGGACCAGCAGACATGCGGGCACGGAGAATCTGGCAGCTGCCAGGGCAGGCTGTCTCGGGGCTGTCCTAGTAGCAGGGCAGTCTGGGGAAGTTGGCAGCAGAAAGGATGGAGAGACTAAGAGAGAGCGAACGTCTGTTCCCCACAACAGCGATCAGTTGTCGGGCTGCACAAAACCTCGACCTCTGAAGTGGCAGAAAGCAGCCACATGTTAAGGCTGAGGGTGTTATTATTAACACGTTGAGTCACGGTGTGTCTATGGAAATAGCTTGTTACTTCCTGAATGCAAGTGTAGACATATTTCCTGTCCTGCTCCTTCAAACTCTGGATGGCAGCGCTCTCTCTGCTGTCTCTCCTCAGGTTGCCAGGAGAAGAAGAGGCGCCTTCGAAGTAGCTCCAGCACACTCGCTTGCAGCACAGGAAACAAGCGAGCTGCCTTGTCTAATTGGCATACTAGCCTTCTGTTCAGTCCTGCACTATTTTCCTTCTGCTTTATTTAGCTGCTGAGCCTAGAAAGTTGGGGAAAAAATTTCTTATGGGGTTGGCGGATGGAGGATACGAATAATAACTCTAGGTATCTTCCAGCTGTCAGAAATGGATATACAAATCAAATCAGGTTTTATTTATATAACACATTTAAAAGCGATTTTTGGTCGAGCCAAAGTGCTGTACATGTAATAAAAACACAATTACTACAAACACAGTAAACGACAATAAATTACAACAGATATATCTTAAAAACAAAATAAAAATAAAACACACAAAAGTCAGGAGTCGTGCTCTACAAGTCTGCAAAGAATGGGATTTTTGCTGTAGCATTATGTTTTTTGCCATCAAAATTTCTTAAAATCAGTTTAGTGTCAATCCATGTATTTCCATACTTAAACTTGATTCATGACGCTTGAAGGAGAATTTCTGATAAACAGGAATGATTGAGTGCCATCACCATTGCTACTGAACAGTTGAGTAAAAAGTCTCAGTATAAGCTGTGAGTGGGGGTGTGCTGAAAACTGCCAAACTGTAGCATCTGCGCCTCTCACTGAAGAAGCCTGATCTGTTATCTGTGCTGGCCATTAGCTTTATGAGGCCTATTCACACCTTACTGCTGGTTAGGAGCGTAGACAGCTAACACATGGGGAATTTGTAGGTTTTATGCCTTTTATGTCTTCAATTACAGTAGGCTTTATGACGGACTCAATGAGTTGTGATGAGACTTTTCTATCCCTGGAGATGCTTTTCTTAAGTGTCCCTTAAGCATGCGTAAAGGGAATGGTCGTATAAGAAAAAGGTTTTATCTGTAGTATGTAACGGGCCCATTTGTTCATTTTAGATAATCAGCAAACAGAAAACTAAAGGTGGTTACAGCGTGTAGTTATTTTGATCGCACTTTTACATATGGCTAGCCTTTGAGGAGTGGAACAGCTTGTGATATAACAAAAATATATATATGTAAGTGCTGAAACAATTGGTCAATTATTTCATCAGTCTAAACAAATCAGGTAATTATTTCAAGTTCATTTGTTTACCATTGGTCATATATAAGTAGATCAATGAATCAATATTTTAAATAATCATTCATTGCAGGCATGGAATGGTTTTAAATGAATGAGTATGAAAATGTGAAGGATACCTGATCCGTTTGCTGATTCCTGGATGACGTATAATTAAATCAAGGTTAGTTTGAAGTGGGGTTCAGTGTAGTAAGTCAGTTTCCTTCAGTAGACGAAGGTTGGCATGCCCCAAGTTTGGAAAAGCAGACAGGAGTTAGAGGACCAAAAGCTAAGTAATGTCCTGTTGTTGATGGGGCAGCAGCTAATCATAGTTTAGCCACCTAAGAAAAAACAAACAATATCTGTTTTCTTTCAGGGAACTAACAAGGTTTTTATATTCTCTTCAAAGCCGCCATGCTCCTTTAACAAAAACTAGTTTTAACTCGATTAGTTGTTCGTCTGACTTGCTTGTGAATCCAAAATACCCTTTCAAAGTCACCTTTTTACAGCCATTAAATCATAAACAATAATTGAAAAAATGTCAGTATAAAATGTCTTGTATTTAACCATAAAATATAACCTAATGGTTGTTTATTTATGAGTTGTACATATGAGACCTGCTTACCAGCTGCATCCCAAATGCAACAACAGTAGTTTGTCTGTCTGCCACCCACACACAGCCACACACACTGAGTCTCTCTTGCTTAGCACATAGTCACATACGGACTGACACACACACAAACCCAGGAGGAGAATAAAAGGCAGACCAGATGAGGGGATGTCTGCTGAGTAGTGGCTTGTCGCCAGGGTGACAGGCACCCAGCTCCCAGCATGCCGAGCGCGCCGCAGCTGCCGCCGGTGCCGAGAGAGCCACATGATGAAGATGATGGTGCTTGGGCCCGCTCCAGGTGTCTCCATCAGAATGTGGGCAAAGAGGCTGTGTGTTTGTGTCTGAGTGTGTGTGGACGTGTGAGTGGGCGCACATACATTTATTTGTGAGACAAGGCAAGAGTCAACACAGTGGGCCACTCTCCTCGAAAACAATGATCTCAATCAAGTGCAGGTGCTTCCTACAACTCAAGTGTTTTCACCAAAACCCCTCCAGCTTGTTTTCAGAGACGAGTCCCTGTAACCAGCTGCCCTCCTTTTCTCTCAAACCTGAAGCACAGACGGGGGAAGACAAAGAAAAACCTGGTTTGCGCTTTCATGGCTCCTTTTTGTTTCAGCGGCAATTCAACGAGAAGCTTACCTGCGTCAGAAGCTGAAAATATTCTCTTGCGATAATGTCGGCAGCATTACTAACGCTTCTCTTTGTCATGTTTCCCAAAGCTGCGAGAGAAAAAAGAAACGGGAAAACAATCAAGCCTCCGTGATTTGATAACAGTTCTCTCTTCTCTGAGGCCGAGGCAAAATAGAAAAGTAAATCAAGCGGTGGCAGCCTGGCGGTTAATATATGAAACTAAAGTGCATGAAATGTAAAAGTTTTCCAATTAAGCGAGGACTTAAAGCTGTTTGGAGGCTGCCGGGATGTAGATAAATGTGGGCTGAGGCTAATGAAGACCAATGCCGCTGATGACTAGGCACTACAACATGTACACAGATAGCCGTGGAAGCCGTGACGCCTTTTAATTGTCACCCCCCCCCACCCCATTTGTCGAATGGGAATTATTATTATTAGCCCCCCGCCACCCCTCGTTTATGCCGAGCCTTATCTCTCACTTGTTTTCTCTCTCGTTCTCACTCTTTGTTTTTCATTTTGTCATTCCTCTCTGGCCAGTGGGTTGAATTGCAGTCGTCTCTGTGTGTGCGTGCTACGTATAGCAATTAGAGAACTGATGTTTTCTTACATTTTCATTCATTTTTTTCTTGTTTGCTGATTTCCTGAGGGTCCTATTCATTTACTGTAACATGGTTATTTAATTTATCATGGTTCAGGTAGATTTTTAGATATGTATTGTCCCTAAAAAATCTCCTGATGGAATAATAGGATTCTAAATATCTATTAATAATAAAATCAAAGGTTATTAATTATTTTCTGTAGGATTAAAATCATGTTTTAAATGCACTTGCCTTGTCACTACTGTTGTTGTGGCCCAGATTGCATGTAAAAACTAATTTCCATGTTCAAATCAAACATTTCTTTTTTGAATAACCCCCAATCAGACAGCACTCCACACCCTTTTAAAGCTCTCCAAGCTCTCCAGTGTTGATTAGAAAGTTTGCTGCTAATGAGTTCTCTTGATAAAAAATAACTGGCATTGTTCAATACTCTGAGTGGCCCTAATGAAACTCCAGCTGATGAAGATTGTAATCGTGTGAGCGCCACATAATGAACGAGCGCTCCAAATTCTCATTTTCAAGTTGAATGCCACTCAATGAAAGCCTCAATTTGTTTGACAATTAACCAATAGAAAATCTGAAAAAAAAGGAAAATAGGCCATTTTGTTGAGGAAAGTTGAACTTTTCAGTTGAAGTGTCAGGAGAACAGTGGAGACTGATTGCAGATAGAATAGATTAAAATACTGCGGTCACTGAAGGCCTGCTTTATGAAATGCGATACCACATTTTTTTTCTTCTCAGATGCAGCTCCAGATTTACTTCGCAACATGTTTCCACTTAATCTTTATACATTGATAGAAAACCTGAAACCAGAAAGTCTCTCCAATTTTCTTTTTTAAATTTTTTTTTATACTTTTATTGTCATTACACAGTAGGCCTACTTACTATGTAACAAAATGGTTTCTCTGCATTTGCCCCATCCTAGTGTTAGGAGCAGTGGGCTACCATTATGAACGGCGCCCGGGGAATGCAACATACCTTGAACAAAACAAACTTTATGTAAACAAATAAAACTAAACATGAATGCTTTGAAGTATAGCGTAATTTTACATTGGTATATTTATCGTTAGTGTTCCTTTTTTATTTCACCAGGTAACGGTTTCCCACAGGGATTATCTCTAAACAGCTGAGTGTTTGTGTCACTAGAGTAAGAACACCTACTGTGGGGACCTGGTTTGAAACTGTTGCCACACAAATGCAGACACATTTGAAAACACATCTGCTTGTCTGTTTTGGCCATTAGCAGTAATGTTGTTTTCCACTGCTGTAATCTATTCAGAGTGGATGTTTTTATAAATACCATTATTGTGTACGTGTGAAGAGGAAACGGTGACACATGATTATGAGCTTGTTAATCTTTTTAAACAAAACCAACATGGCTTTCGGATTACTGCGCAGTTGCTTTATTTCATGTCAAATATGCAAATGTTATTATTTTTAAAGTGATATTATAAAATATTAGGATTTGATAAAAGTAAACCGGATTTAAATGATAGAATAATAAGATTGTGTTACTGCGGAGTCATCGTAACACTGAAACAGAGACATGCTATAAGTCAGAGATAACTCCTGTATCGTACGATCAGATATATTATACCAATACTTTTAATAGTGTTTTCCTATTTGCAGCCCACTTACATTAAAACACTTAAAATAATTCATGTTAACTTTTCAAAATGAGCTAATAAACAATATATTCTTTCTTCGTCCGCCTGGTAAGATGAAAAGAAACACAAAGGGGACTTGGCAAACATAGAATAACAACACTAACAGATAAGGACAGTAATAACAGAACCATGCCAAAGTAGAGCTGCTCCTGTGAGTAACAAAAGACAAGGGATCCTGCAGATGAATATATAAATAGTTCTGCAGATAAACAAATGTATCTTTTCAAACTTTCTCTCTCTCCTTCTCAGGATGCGTTCCTGGTCATCGCAGCAATCGCGTTCTTCGTCCTCTGCGTCTACGCCTTCTTCTACCTCAACCTGAGCACCGAGCTGGACCTGGATGTGGACGTGGATTAATGATCGGGACACAGTCTGTCAGCTTCTTTAACTCACTTTTGGTGACGCTGTGACAAGAAACCTTAAGGAGAAATGACCCAATGCATCAAATAACTCAAGTTTCAGGACATTTTTAAACAGATTTTCTTCCTTCCCTTTATTTTTCTGCTTGGGAGCACACAAACGTAAATCTAAGGATACTTTACTATACCATGTTTCTACATTTATAAATGTCAGTTCTTCTGTTCTTTCCCTATATGAGTGTGTGGCTTTGTTTCTCTTCCCTTTTTACACAATGCTTCCAAACTCCAGTGGAGACCAACCCTCTGCTAATCATATTCCGCAGAATCACGTCCCACTGTTTCCTGCACTAATAGAAAAATGTAAATCTCCCACTGAAGCTCTCGTCACATCGAGACAAACACTTGCCTCACATTCCAGTGCCCAAACCTCTCCTCCCGGATATCTGCAGATCACAAAGTGTGAGATTAGAATCCACAAAGCCCTCGCTCTGATTGAATGTGTGTGCAGAATACAGAACAACACATTCAACCTGCTGCACCAAGACAGACATTCACAGGATTAGCTTTACAAATATCATTCCTCTTCGTTCATTTGAATGGAAATTACCGACATGTACGTGGACTGATTCGAGGTGAGCCTCTGTATTCCTCTTCAGGAACACCTTGATAATTCTCCTTCTTGTCAAATGTATGTATTGTGTGAAGGTTCTGTCAAAGACTCTTTATCAATGCACAAGTACTGCGAGGTGCAACGGCTGACCTTCTTTTAAGCATCTCGGTCCAAGTGCTTTCATTATTTGAGAAGTTCTTTGTTCGCAGTGCAAGCAGGAGCTTTTACCGAGTCCATTTTTCTGTTTGAAATTGCAACGCTTTCCAAGTTATTATCAGTTTCCATTCCATCTATCTTCAGCACTCATGAACCTTAACTATCAGTAGCAATTCTTTTCTCTTAAAGCAATAATGCATTGTTTTCGATATGACTCTTTTATATATGTATTGTTGTGTAATGGAAGCTTTGAATGAAGAACCAAGCGAATCTTGTCCAAACTGAACGTGTTTACTTTATAATAATTTAACAGTTTCCAACAAGAACGGTGGAAGACGGAGAAAATGCACTCGACATACACGTATTCATTTCTATATCAAAACAGGAAGGAGCAAAAGCAGAACACATACTTGCACTTCAAAATAAAAGCATTTTCTTTTTTACCTTCAACATTTTACCCTTAACTTCTGTCAAGAAGCAAATAAACAAATGTTTTTACTGCTTTAAATAAAAGAAGTTACAACACGTATGATGCATGAAAGGCTAATGGAAAATACACAAGAGGCCTTGTTGCTTATATCTGACATGTCCCCCCCCCCTTTCCCTCTACCATGTCTCTTTTAATAACAAGTCTTGTGTCTGCCTCACGTGTTCAGATGAAATGTGAGACTGAATTTTGAGCTTTAAGTTTCTGCCTTTTTCCTCCCATGACCTCCCTCACCTCTAGTGAAAGTCTTCATGTCCAAGAAACCATTATGATAAGCAAGCGCCACTACCCTCACCCAGGAGCTTTTATCTGGCCTAGGTTCATCCAGACCCCCCCCCCCCCCCCCCCCCCCCCCCCGGGTCACTCACATGTGTAACAATAGATTTCCCGACCTTTGTATAGTTGACACCTGTTATCTAAAAGGTCACCATTACATACTACATGAGCTCTGACATCCACACAATGCATAGGATCTCGCAGGACAACATATTTATGAGGTGCAAGTTATGTTGCTGCTTTTTGAATTGGTATTTGAATTGCTATACAAACATTTTTAAGGTTTGTTTTGTCCTTATTTCTCAGTTACTGTGTGATGATATATTTTCTTTGTGTTTTTTGTCAAATTGCTTTGAAGATTAAAACCATGTATCATTCTGTGAAGATATATAAATAATGTGAAAGGAGATTAAAGCACCTTTTCAATACATGCATGTATTTCTATCATTTATATGAGATCTTAAGTTTTAAAGACGTGTCGGCTTCTGAGTTTACATTAGGTTAAATATTTCTGGGTTTTGTTGTTTTAATAATTCTCATTAACGTTGAACACAAAGTGCTTTATATCACAGTGAAATCAACATAGTCAGTGTTGAATATCTATGGTTTGAAAGATGAAAACTCGAAGTATGTTTCCTCTATTGCACCCATAAAACTTAACAGTATAAAAATGGACAACAGTATATGCTTATTGCACATTTTAAATCGTAGTGTTGCATTTAAACATTTTGGCAGCTGATCAAGCAGGGTACTCTTAAAATAACAACTTGACATTAGCTTATCTACCAGAAACGTTTTATACTTTTTTTTATCCTTGAAGGTTTATATGTATCTGTAAAATACAGGTTGTCGTTACCTTGAGTGTTAAAAGTAAAATAAAGCCCATTGTGTATACACTTTTATTGGGTTTAATTGAGCTATTTCTTCTTTTAATTTGCTTTAATTCAAGTAATAAACAACTGTGTTCTATCAGCAATTGGTTGTTGACTATAGTAAGGTCTTTATCGGTCTAAATGTCATGACCTTAACTTAAAAAGAGCCTGTGTGTCAACCAGTCTATGGTGTCAACAAGTGTAGCTGGTAGGATGTTGCTACAGGATTTCCTTACACACAGCAGAGATAATCCACGACCATAACAAAAGGACGTGTGTGACGTCAGCACTCCTCGTCCGACATATCTCTGCTAATCGACGGCATTTCACTGACTCCTGCTCACCGCAGTCAAACGTAGGAAATTAATCAGCAGTAGCATTGTATGAGCGTTTAGCGTGACCTTAGCAGCTTCCACAGGAGTGGAACGCACCAAAGCCTTACCTACCATCCTGTGACAAATGAGCTAGACGCCACGCACCCAAATCCTGCTCATTAGTCATGTGAGGGATGTCACCAAGAGTAATTATACTTAGCTTCAAACTTGCATATGCAACACACACCCCATCACACGCACACACAAAACCGTCTTGCCGCACTTTCCCACACTTAAGCCAGTAGGAAATGTTCTCATACATGTAAGGCTGTTTACCGAGACATGAATCATAATTATGACTGCTGGTGAACTCGACACTGCGCATTTCAAGCATGCTAGGTTTGGCTCTCATGTTATTTATTTTAGACATAAACAAACACATGCATATTGTCACATTTTCTGTGGGCACCATGACGTCATGTGAACATAGATGCACGTTGACCTTGGCGTACTTTCTGTTTTGTCTCTGGTTTGGAGTGTGTGTGTGTGTGTGTGTGTGTGTGTGTGTGTGTGTGTGTGTGTGTGTGTGTGTGTGTGTGTGTGTGTGTGTGTGTGTGTGTGTGTGTGTGTGTGTGTGTGTGTGTGTGTGTGTGTGTGTGTGTGTGTGTGTGTATTTTCAGTATTCAGCACAGTGCCTTTGGCTATGCTCCAGTGGAGCGCTCAGTCTCTCTGACGGACCGGTGAGAAGTGAGGAGGGTCAGTCCCGCCAGGAGCTCATTTAGTCCCTATCTCTATCATACACACACACACACACACCCTCACCCTCCACACCCACACGCACACACACACACACAGTCTTCACTAGTCACTCTGACAGGGAGACTCATTGCTCCTTCCCTATCCCTCTCTATTTCTCTCTCTCTCACACACACACACAAGCACACCCTGCTGCGCTCCCATTAGGGAGATATAGTGAGAAGACAGGGCCGATGATGCATGTCACAAAGTACTACTTCTAGTCTCTCACACAATGTCTCCTCCCTTTTTCTCTCTCCCCACTTTCCTCCATTTATTCTTCCACATCTCATTGATTTGCTGAATTTTTTTCACTGCTTCTGCTCAAAAATTAAACTATGTATGGATTAATATCATGAAGCATACATCCAGAGTCAGGGGGTCATAATGAAAGAAGACATAAAAGCTTAACTCTCAGGATGATGTGTTGCATATTTAAAGCACTATATCATAATGTGCTAAATAATTCTGAGTGCACAGTAATGTAGAATACTGATGTGTAGTAGAAATATGTTGAAGTGACAAACCATCTTCCTACCTATCTACCACAGTAATCGGCCGACTTGAATGTGAAAAACAAACATGACCATGTCAACACCAAACGTGACAGTAATGCTCTGGTGTTTAATTCTCTGCCGACCTCTGTTGCCTGTGTGTGTGATATGAATGCATTAGCAGGATTGTGCTGTGCGGTGGATTAGAAACTCCCCTGTGCTTTGTGAGGTGTGTGGTAATGCCAGATTTAGCGGATTCTGCTGCGAATCACATCCCCCCCCATCCCCTTCTTAATCCCTGATGCGCTGCCTAATGACACAGAGACTGAAGAACTCAGCGGGGGAGCGATGGAAGGCAGGGAGAGAGTGATAGAAAACTTGGAAATACTCAAAAAGCAGTTTGATCTGATAGAGAAGTCGATGTGAAACCCTAAATACGTCATTAATCGTCCTTTAAGGTGCTACAATATTTGCTATTTGGAGAAAATGTAATCAAGTTTTTTGTGTGTGTGTGTTCAGTTCTGCATCCGTAATCAGTGTGTCAAGAGCGGATAGGGCAGGTGCTCAACAGGTGTGCTCTCTGATACCAGTCCCTCTCCATTTGCCTGTCTGTCCCTCCATGTTTGCACACGCTCATTGTGTTCTTCATAGAGGAACACCTGGGCTCTGCTGTACCTGGGCTCGTTGCCCAGTCTTCAGTCTGACAACACACACACACTCGCACACTGGAACACTGCCAGTTCCTGTTACTGGCTATAGCAGGAAGCAGCAGCTGACATCCTATCCTTCAGTTCCCAGGAGACTCGACAGTAAACCATCCGAGTCGGACCCACTTGAGACCGGCTCACCTGAGAATCAGGCCTCTTGTACACAACAGTTAAATGGGAAAGGAGAGCACTGAGGACTCTGTTAGCGTGTTAAGCTAATAAGTATCAGGTACTTCAGTTGGATTCTCTAAGGCTGATTGTTTTGGGCAGCCATTTGTTTTGCTTTTCAAGTGTGGTTCATCGTGCCAGCAAAAGCCGCATCAGAGATTTTTGAGCTAAATTCCAGTGAATAAGCTTCAGTGGCAGGTGCCAGATTTAGCCATGGTTTGTCTGTTTAGATCAGTGTACCTTTCCTGGCAACAGAGATCACTATGTTTCAAATCAACACACATTGAGCAATGTTTCCTCTAATATCTTATTTTGGAGACCTTTAAAAATGCTTTAAATAAGTCTCCGATGAGAAAAATGTGCAAAATAGCTACAATATTTGATTTGTTTCACTATTAACTCAAAGCTGCCCTTTGTGTGTTGGAGATAAAGACACAGTCTGATGCAGTGAGGAAAGAAAGGCCTCCTAGAAATGGAGCAGAATCGCTGTGTTTCCCACAATGGTCTGCTTTGCCATGCACTAGTGAGCGTGGGATTACCTGAGGGAATAACACAAACAGGTTGTCTCCGGTTCTTTTGGTTTGTTGTGGTTTTCTCCTGGAATAAGTAAGGAGATCTCAGCTCCTGCTTCTCTCACCGAGGCACTGTTCCAGAGAGTAGGCAAGCACTGATGAGTGCATTCAAGTAGCTCAGCGGCTCACTCGATTGTTTCTCAACCATCGGGCTCTCCAAACAGAAGTTGATGCATCGGTTGCCATTCCTTTTTGTAACACTTTATTTTCATTTGAATATATTTGTGTATCACCATGCTCATTTAAATATGTTGCACGTGGGCGCAGCAGATCAAGCTATGGACACATCATTGACTTATTTTCAACGTATTAAGTGGTTTCGGCTAATGTATAAGGCTCAGTGTCCTCATTGTGTGTTTTTACTGAGCGCCAGCGCCTTCTGTAATTGTTTTGAATGAGAAAAGAGTATATCCATGCGCATGCGACCGCCTCCTTTTACTCAATGCTCTGCCTTTTTTCCGGCGGCCTCTACTGACGCCTCTGGTAAAATCTCAGATTTCTTTTTAAAAGTCTGTAGAAAATAAAAGAGAAGCTTATTTTCGTCCCGTCAGTTTTTTCTGAGATGTATTTATTTGACAGATTCTTTCGTAACATAACTGAAAAGCCCATGTGTAGGGACAGATCAGCCGGCTCTTCCTTGCTCTACAACGAACAGATGAAGTGGTGACAAATGTATTCATACACAGTATTGGGGCCGGCATTCCTAATTTGTGTTCACGGCGAAAAACATTGTCCATCTTAAATTAAGTCGCACAAATACTGTAGATAATAATAACCTAGGGTGCGATGCTTTTTTCTCTCAGTTATATGGTGTCAAGAAATGACCTGAAATATGTTTCTCCATTATTCAGTCATTTTCTTTTTGCACGCTGCGTTTTGTTCTCCACCAATATATATACTGACTCTTAAAGCTGATAAATGCTATAATGTGGACTTTGGCTATAACTTGGGCTATACACCAAAAACAATGACCAAAAGTGATTCTTCTCACATGTCAGTCTTCTTAATTAGCCAGTCTCCCGTCTTCACGCAGGCACAGAGTTGACCTGGGCAGGATACCAAACCCCACAGGAACAACACATTAGTTGCATTAGGAACGCAACCCACATCATTAGCAATGACATTTAACGGACTGAAGCAGCAGTCAGTGTTTTGGCAACAGTGACAATGGCAGATGATACATGGTCCAAGAAGATGGTGGCCATCAATCTCTCTATTCACCTCTCCATCTTGTTCACTTGTTCCCTCTTTGTGGGTGAAACAACCCTGAGCAGATCACATGACACCGGGGTAACGAGCCTGAACACAGTCTGTGTTTTAGGGACCGTGTTCACATAAGCTGTGTGCAGCAGTCGTGTGTCGTTATACTTTCTATTCTCCACCTGAGCGAGGACTCTTAATGGTCGTCTTTAGGAAATGTTGAGAGGGTCATTCAGAGATTGTAGTTGTGCAGTGTCTTTGATTCAGAAGAGTCAGAGCCACAGGAGTCATACCCCGGAGGGAAAA